TCCGGAAGCGAATTATGAACATGCGGAACCCCAAAATTTCAGCGAGTGCCCCGCCCACTGTGGGCGGGGCTTCGCATAGGTCAAGTGTGCTTTTTATTTCTTGTCCCATGCTCTACCCATCCCCACCTTGACCCGACCTCTCCAAGTCGTTCTTCAGGTCGAACCGAATTTCCGGACAGACAAACTGCTGTTCTCACGCGAAAGGGATGCACTGAAATGCGCTCAAACCTTGCATTCAATTGGCGCCGATCGGCGAAACTGTTGCCCAACATCGATCACTGGGATCGCACGGCCTGACCACTCGTGTGATCACATTTGAAGTCAAATCTCGAAGTATGAACAGGCCCTTGGATTGGAACGGAAGCCGCGAGTCTAGTGCATTTTTAGTTGCTAATCGACTATCGATCAGTGCGATGATTCAGCAGCTGTTCCTCTTCATTCTTCTCTCGACGGCGGCTTCGGCTGGCCTTGCTACCCTTGATGGTAAGTGTTCTCTAAATTCTCCATATGTATTCTGGAAAGGCTTTCGTGGTATCCCATCCCTCTTCATTCCAGATGACACAAATGTTCTTTTGTATCAAATGTTCAAATGGTCCAAAGCTGATTGGCGATTTCTCGACATGTTCGGAAAAGAACACGGACCTCCTCCCCGAGGCCCCGATATAGTTTGAATTTCCGTTCACTCAATTTTTATCACATATTCTGAGCATTAGGATTTCAATGTCTCCAGAAATATCACAAATATCCTGCGGCTTCCTGCCGTCTCTGGGGAACCTTTTGCAAAATACAGCCCCACTAGGAGCATCTCTTCTGGTACATCCCACCACTTCTATCCTCCATCCCGCCTGTCGCGACGCATTGCCTTATATGAGCAGCCGCGTGGTAGGCGTGGTGGTAGGAGGACGACAGACGGCGGTCTCCCATTCGCCCGAATCAGGTCAGCCAAACTACTCGCAGGTCAAAGCGGGAAACGGAGCCGAATAATCAGGGAATACGGTATCGTGCGGTAAGGCCCAAGCGAGGAATGTGAAGACGGCTTTTTACCCATTCCGGTACAGCTGAGAGTTGCGCGTGCGGAACTGGAAGATAGGCATGAGGGAGGCCTCGTGATGAAGTTCTGCAAAGGTCAGGGCCCCACCTACAAGCTTTTCAAATCCTGGAAATTCCTCTTCAAAAAAAGCTCGGGGGGATAGGGTAAGAAAAGATGCTCTTGAGTAAGAAATATCGAGAGCATCCAATGACCGGATACTTTTTACTCAGAGACACAGTCGAGCTCATCGCTTGGCTTCACAGCATACGACAAATCTTGTATGAGGTATCAGTGGCCTTCTGGTACCTCAACCATGAAACGATAACATAGATGTCGGCTACGGTGCGAAAGATAGACAATCTTCCGAATGACTCTCTCCCTGAAAATACGTCAGCCAATGAGAACTTCGAGTGTGCTCTTGGGAAGTGAAAGAAGTCTATTCTGGGGAGTATCATACAACATGAGTGCAGTCAGCACTGTGCTTTAGATATGTATTTGGCTCTTGTAATAAATTTAGTCTGCCGATGTGCACACAGTACCTGGGTTGAAACTTGGACTCACTTATCCTGCTTGTGGGAAAAGAGTTGGTGGGAGTGGTATGTCAGATATTGTTGGGCCGGTATACGGTAAGGAAACTGTAGGGTAAGATGGAGGTATACCTCGCCCTTTTAATGATCGCCTGTGGGGTGACCTCATTAAGCTGCGTGCGCCGACCGCTGACCTCGCAGTTCCAACGGAGATACAATGTCGAG